TGAAAGCTTTCACTCTAAAATCAGAAACAAGTCAAGGATGTCCACTGTCATCATTCTTCAATATAGCTCTGGAAACATTAGCCAGAGCAATTAGACAAGAGAGGGAAATAAAAGGAATAAGGACAGGAAAGGAAGAAGTTAAATTATTGCTATTTGTGGATAACATGACACTCTACAGAGAAGACCTCAAAAACTCCACCAAAACACTTCTAGATTTGATAACCAAATTTCAGTGGTGTAGCTGGATACAATGTAAATACTCAGGGTCAGGGATTTAGCTCAGTGGTTCCGCCACCTGCCTCAGAAGTGCAAGGTCCCAAGTTCGATCCCCAGTACCAAAAAACAAAATGTAAACACTCAAAAGGCAATAAACAGCCTTTCTGTACACAGATAACAGACTCACAGAGAGAGAAATTAGAGAAACAATCCCTTTCACAATCACATTCTGAAAAATGAAATACCTAGGAATCAATCTAATGAAGGAAATAAAAACATCTATATTGAAAACTACAGCACTCTGAAAAAGGAGACTGAAGTGGGATTTCAGAAAATGGAAAGATTGCCGTTGTTCTTGGCTAGGAAGAACCAATAGAGTGAAAACTGTTATACACATTCAGTACAATCCCAGTCAAAATCCCAACAGCATATCTAAAAGACTTAGAAAAAACAATCCTAAAATTCATTTGGAACCAGAAGAAACCTAGAATAGCAAAGGTAATTCTGGGCAGCAAAGCCAGAGCAGGAACTATCACAGTCCCTGACTGTAGAGTATACTACAAAGCTATGTTGATAAAAACAGCATGCTGCTAGCAAAAGAACTGACCTGAGGATCATTGGAACAGACTACACGATGCAGAAACAACTCCAGAGATACTCGATCACATCATCTTTGACAAAGGAGCCACACACCTTCACTGAAAAACAGCCTCTTTGATCAATGATTCTGGTAAAACTAGCTTTCCAGATGCTGAAGACTAAAACTAGACCCATGTTTTTCCCATGAACTAAAGTAAAATAAAAATGGATCAAAGATTTAAAAGATGGATCAAAGATCTAAATACTTAGACACATTAATTCTGCTAAAAGAATAGGTTGAACTCTTGAAGACATTAGTATAGGTATGGACTTTATGAACAAAATCCCAGTCACACAGGAAATATTACAAAGAATGAATAACTGGAATCTCATCTTATTAAAATGCTTTGGCATGGCAAAAAAAATCCATCAATTCAGTGAGAAGAAAACCTACAGTGGGAGAAACATTTTTTGCCATTTGTTCCTCAGATAAAGGACTACTATCTAGAATATCTAAAGAACTCAAACCGGGTGTGGTGACGCACGCCTGTAATCCCAGCACTTGGGAGACTGAGGCAGGAGGATCCCTATGAGTTTGAGTCCAGCCTGAGCTACATAGTGAGTTCCAGGTCAGATTCAACTACATAGTGAGACCCTGTCTCAAAAAACACAAAACACACAAAAAAAAGGAAAAAAGAAAAAAAAAAGCGAAAGAACTCAAAATATTAGACCCTTAAATTTAAAGAAGAAATTTAAAAATGTGCATCTAAAATGAATAGACAAGTCTCAAATGAAGAAATAGACATAGCAAGTAAATATATGAAAAAATGTTCCAGGTCACTGGTCATTTGAGAGATGAAATTAAAGCAACACTAAGATTCCATCTCACTCCAGAAAGAATAGCTGCTATCAAAAAATCAGTGAGAGGCCCGGGGATGTAGCTCAGTGGTTCCACTGCCTGCCTCACAAGCACCAGGACCTATGTTCGATCCCCGGTACCAAAAAAAAAAAAAAAATCAGTGAAAAATGCTTGGGGCTGTGTGGAAAAGGGAACCACAGTGACATACGTGCACCCATGTTCATAGCAGCACAAAAAAAATCAGTGAAAAATGCTTGGGGCTGTGTGGAAAAGGGAACCACAGTGACATACGTGCACCCATGTTCATAGCAGCACAGTTTGTAATAGCTAAATCCTTTTTTTTTTTTTTTCTGGTACCAGGGATTGAACTCAGGACCTTGCGCTTGCGAGGCAGGTGGTGACACCACTGAGCTACATCCCCGGGCCTTGTAATAGCTACATCTTGGAAACAGCCCAGATGTCCATCAACCAATGAATGAATAAAGATTAAAAAAAAAAACCAAACAAACAATGGAGTAGTACTATGCCATAAAGAAAGATGAACTCGGGCCGTGGATTTAGCTCAGTGGTGCTGCAATCTGCCTTGTAAGTGCAAGGACCAGAGTTCAATCTCCGGTACCAAAAGGAACAAAAAAAAAAAAGATGAACTTGAGCCAGTTCTAGTAAATGGATGCATCTTGAGATCATACTCATAAGTGAGATAAATAAGATACATGTGTTTAAATACTGCATTCTTTCCCTCGTGTGAGAAACCTAAAATGTAAGGACCAAAATATATAAATCATATTGGGAAGTGGGTACAAAATCTTCAAATGAGATGGGGAACCACCAGGGAAGGGGTGGGGTGGAGAAAAGAAGGGGAAAGGAAAAAAGAGAGAGATGCTGGGCATGGTGGCTAATGCTTGTGATCTCAGCACTTGGGAGGCTGAGGCAGGAGGATGGAAGCGAGTTCAAGGACACAGCCTGGGCTACATAGCAATGAGACACTGGCTCAAAAAATAAATTAGGGGGGAAGAAAATCAAAGGAAAAATGGAAACAAAGCTTTTGTAAATAAGGAGGGGAAAAGGGTTCAAAGGGAGGGAGTGGGGAAAAAAAGAAAAAGCAAGATACATCATGTAAAGGTACAGATTCTTTATGATGGATGTCATCATTATGTGTATCTAAAATGTGCCACTGTGACACATCACCTTCCAGCCGGTCAGATTCGGGCTGCTGTGGGGCAATCTGTATGTAGGATATAAATACATAAAACATTTGCATTTTACTTTATGTATGAGGCCAGTGAATGGAAACTTTATTTTACAAAGAAAAAAAAAAGAATGAAGGAGAAAGTGGCTCTGCAGAGCGAGCTTGGGCTGAGAAAAAGAAAAAAAAAGTGAGATTTAAAGGTTCCCCCCCGCTCCCTGGAGGAAAGAGGCCGGAACATCTACGTCCGGGTCCTGAGAGATGGAGCCTGACATTAGGTCCAGGGTGTCCTGCTCCAGTTCTGAGAAGTCCACCTGCAGCGCTTTGGGACCTGCCCTGCACAGATGTCTGCAACTTTGCAATTAACAGGCCATGCCTACTTCCGCAGCCAGCTTTGCCATGCCCTAATCTCTGTCTCAATAGCTTACACAGCCTTGGAGGCCAAGACAGACTCTTGGAAAGTGTAAGGTTATTGCTGGGCATGGTGGTGTACTCCATAATCCCAGCACCTGGGAGGCCGAGGCAGGAGGATCACTGCAAGTTCTAGGCCAGCCTGGGATGCATAGCGATACCCTGTCTCAAGAAAGGTGGGGGGGGGCTAAAGTTATTATTAGATTACCTTATTTCATGCAAATAAACAGGGATTCTTTGGCCTTAGATATTTCTGGGGCGCCACTGGCCTGTACAAGAAATAACCTGAGGGCTGGGGATTTAGCTCAGAGGTTCTGCCGCCTGCCGCCAAGCACAAGGTCCCAAGTTCAATCCCTGGTACCAAAAAAAAAGAATATCTACAAATGCTGCCAGGGCTGTGGGGAGAAAGGAGCCCCTCCCCACTGCGATAAGACAAGAAAGAGCATGACATTGGCAAGACAAAACAAAACCGCACTTACCCTTTCCTGGGTGTTTGAGTAGTAATCCAGGCAACCCAACCTCTAGGGTCATTTCCCCTTCTAAGTTTAGGACGACTCTCAGTCCGCAGCTGCCTGGATTGGAAGGTGTATTTAAGGTTAAGTGTGTTTTGATAGTTCTCGTGCCTACAAACTCCAGACACGCCTTCACTTATTCCCTATCCCTAGGTTTCTGTTTTCTCTGATTTTTGTTTGTTTTGCTTTTGTTTTTTGAGACAAGCTCTCGCTATGTAGTTCAGGCTGGCCTTGAACTCACTATGTTGCCTAGACTGGCCTCGAATTTGAAGCAATCCTCCTGCCTCAGCCTCCTGAGTGCTGGAATTACAGGTGTGTGCCCCCATACCTGGCCTGTAATCTGTTTGGGGGAGGTTGTTTTTCTTTTTTGATACTGGGGATTGAACTCAGGACCTTGCACTTTCAAGGCAGGCAGCGAAACCACTGAGCTAAACCCCTGACCTATAATCTGTTTTAATACCATCAGATTAATTCACATCTAAGTAGCTGCTTTGATTTTTAGGGTCAAATGGTTTTCTGTCTTTCTAGACAACAGAAAGAAGATTTCAGGCTGGGCATGATAGTGCACAGAACTTACCTTTGTTTTGTTTTGTTTTGCTGTTTGCTTGTTTTGCAGTATTCTCCCAAGACCATGACATTGAACCCAGAGCCTCCACACTGAGCTACACTCTTCACCTTTTTCATTTTTTATTTTGAGATTGGGTTTTGCTAAATTGTCCAGGGTGGCTCTAACTTGCAGATCCTCCTGCGTCACCCTTCTAAGAAATTACAGGTGCACACCACCAACCCCGGCTTGGGGAACTTCTGTGACCGGGACTGCATGCTCCGTGCTCTCAGCACCTCGACCACATACACAGTGCGCCTCTTTCCTTTGATGCGCTCCTACCACCACAGCCCGGCCCCAGCCAGCCTTCCGCACAACTCCGCTGTAGGAGGGTGACCAGGGCGTCATGGTGGGAGGCGTCGGTCCTGACGCAGGTCAAAGGGAAAGCTGATGAGAGCAGACTCAGGGCGTGAGCCAGGGGAGCCTCCCGCAGTCCCCCAGGCATCACACGAGCCACAAACCCTTGTGCTTTGGGCCTGAAATAGGTAACTTCTGTGTTCCTGACCGCCTAATACTCCACAAAGCTGGGACCCCACAGAGGGCGAGCAGAAGCATGTTGCCCACGCGGTAAGGAAACAATCCACTGTGACATCATGGTGCGGAGCCCTCCCGCGGAGCCGTCCTCACTCAGTGTCCTGTCCGCCTGACCAGTGGCCTCCCTACCCGGGGAGCTGACGCTGCTGCCACACGCCCTCCGCGCCATGCCCCAAGGCGCACGACAGTGTCACCTCAGCGCTACAGCCCCGGGCTCAGAGGGAAGCTAGCTTCCCTCGTGCACTGCATCGGCTGTGCCTCCCACATTTGGGCCGGCGCAACCACACAACGGCCTGGTGGCGGCACGCATTGTGTTACGGTAAGACCCGCACTCGCGCCATGTGTGGGCTGAGTTCAGAGCTGATGCCAGACCTTCACGGCCCCCTGGAGAGTCGCTACGGACTCTCTGGTCTCCTTAGCTCTGTGAGTGTGTGTGTGTGTGTGTGTGTGTGTGTGTGTGTGTGTGTGTGTGG